TCTAAGCAGCTTCTCTAAGAAGTGAGCATGCATCTGTTTTTAAAGCAGAGCTGGGTGGGAGTGATTGTTGTAGGGCTGCTGCTTTGCTTCATACGTATTTTCATTAGCCCCAGGAAAGTTATGTGAATCACACAGTATTCAGAGTGGGGCTGCAATCTCAACAGCAATCTTAACTTTGCCCTAGAAGCTGATCCACTATGTAGAAAAGGATTCAATCGTCACAAGAAAGGAGATAGCCCAAGTAAGACCATGAATCACATAGTTTAAGCATTCCTGCAGAAGGAGCAATATTAGCATCTACTCTCTGCTTACAGCAGCATTTGTGCAATTTACAGTCAACAGTCAGTGGCTACAAGACAAACAACCCAGGGAAGAGGACCTGAGTTATTAGATGAAAGCTTACTGAATGCTGTTTTCATAATTTCTCTGCATTTTTGGACAAAGGGGGACTGTTTGTATCACTTGACATTAGCACTTTGCTGAAGGCATTTAATTTAGCCAGCAAAATTATCTTAGCAAGGCTTCTGCAGTTGTCAGCAGAGAGACAGTCCTTCTGAATACAATTCAGAGCCTGTTTGCTTTTTGCTTTAAATTGCCATTTTCATTGCCTGCTAGGGAAGCATTGCCTCCTATTTTTTTATGCCACATTAGGTACTTTCAGACCCTCACACAAATATCCAACTGGTGTGTTTTGGCTGTACAGTGAAAAGCTGTACTGGATTATGTTGCTTGCGTACTGGTTTGCCTTAAAAGTGTCAACACCTTTTAAGTGAGGCAGTTCTGGGCATAGAAAGCACCTGTCAGATTAAGAAGCAGTAATAATAACTTGCAAAAGAACATAGCTGGTAAATCCAACATGGAATATACCCCCACTCAAGGTATCTTCAAGCTAGGCAGGTGCTGAGTTAGGGGTTTCAGGACTGTAGCTTTGGATTTGGTATTTCTACCTTAATCCTGCAGTTGGAGCCCTAGGTTGCTTGAGCTGACTTTGTGTGCTCTGATGCTTTAAATTGGCAATCTAAATTTCAATGCTAGGGTGCTTGGACCCAAGTTATCCAAAACCAGTATCCTTTTATTTCCTTACCTGTTGTTTCATTGCTGCTGTTACAGATGTACCTTATAGTGGGATAGATCCTTCAGCTCTTGATCATGCCCCAGGAAGTTAAGAGGTGAAGCTGCTGAGTTCTTTGTGCAGTGCTGTGTTGTTTGCTTTAAAATACATTATCTTCTTCATGTAAAGCAAACCAGACTGTCCAAACAAGGAAGGGAGAGGGAAATAAAAAGACCTTAATTTGAGCCTTGCTAAGAAACTCAGGTAAATGAGTCTGTCACTAGGAAAGGACAAAATGAATAGGGAAAGACATTGGATTTTCAAGGTTCTCAGAGGGCATTAAAACAGTAGAAGTGAAAAATAATAAAATTATAAGAAGTGCTTGAGAATGTCTCTAAAATATTAATTGGGTGCTAAACATGAATGGCACATGCACAATACTTCCTCTCAATAGCAGTAACCTGAAACGTCCACCTCCTGTCTCTGCCAGCCTTTAGAGTGCTCTTCCCCTTTGCAGCTCCTTTCCTTTGATACACTTTGACAGAAGAATCAATGCCTGTGGCTGCTTGCAGGGTGGCTTGGTAGCTGTAGACCCCCTATCAGTCTGTGATCTATTTTTTAAGAAATGGCATTTGTTCCTCTGAATGGCATCCTGCTGGTGTTTGCTCAAACCTCTTGCCTGGCTGCTGGCTGTTCTGTAAGTCTAGAGCTCTCCTGTTGGTTTGGTGGAGACTCAGGTTGGTAACAACTGTGCTTTTACTCCCTTTTCATTCACCTGAAGCTCTTAGGGTCATACTTGCTCAAACAGCACAATGGAGTCTGATTGTAATGTCACTTAGCAGGTTATACCCACATGGCACTGAATTCATATCTGAAAAAGGTCAAGAGACTGGGTTCACAGGCTGTGTGCTAATGGATCTGGTAACTGCCTGAACCTCTTTGCTGGCTTCTTCAAGTTGAATGCTCCATCACATGCCTTCTGCTCAGAGGTATAGAGTGGTGACAGACCCACCCGGGAAAAACAAATAGCTGCTTCCTTCCAGATGGTATTCTAACACAGGATAAATTGTGTTCAAAATAGAGTTGCAAGACTCAAGGGCAAAGAGTGTAAGCACAGTGAAACATTGACTCTTTCCCTGTGTGCCCTGTCCCAATTCTTTGGGACAGCAAGAGGGAGTGTTTCAGATCCAGGAGTTAGAAAGCAGGAATTTTATTTGTTGAAGGCACACTATAATTGAAGAGGAGATTTTTAAATAATACTTTGGGTTAAAACTGAAAATTGGGCTTCATGCACTTTGTACTGCATGTGTCCTTAAATCATCCCTCATGCAAGACCTGAAGACTTGAAGCTTGTAAAGAGAATTTGCATCACTTGAATTGTATTTTCAGCTAATTTTTGAAGGCTGAATACAGGAAAATAATTTGAATGGAATATAATACACCTTAAAACAAGAGATTTGGGGTGTTTTTTTTTTTTGTTGTTGTTGTATTACTGGGTATTCAGGAAAAAATAGATTAATTTGCAAGAACTGCAGAACTCAACAGACATTAATGGAAAGATGTTTCACCTAAGATAGTATTTTTTCCATTAAAAATTAATTAGATTATGTTTATGTTTCTCTCACTGAAGGTTGTTTACTTGTGTAGTTAGTGCATTGGAATTGTGTAAATTCGTCTGGCAGTTTAGTCTGGTCAGAGACAGCACTAATGATACTAAATGAAAAACAGGAGAAAATATCAGACGCTATCATGGAGTGTGAAAGCCGTATTTACAGTGTTTATTTCTGGACTACTTAGAAACATGCTAGCAAAGTATTATGTTACTCATAAAGCTACATTGTATATTTTATACTCACACATGGCTGAGGATGGGGAACTTCCACAAACTTTGATGTGGAATGAAGTAAGAGGACTGTTACGGCTGGCAAGGCATGACAGAGCAGGAGGAAGAACTTTATAGGTGTCCAGAAGCACTGGTACTACTGTTACAGATTTAAAATGAAATTGAGCTACAGAGCAGGCAAACAGCTAAGTGTAGTGAACATATCACTATCTGTATGTGTTGAGTCATCCCCACTTACCTCAGCTCTTTAGTTCTTTTTTAAGTGCAAAAATATTTCCTGATGGCAAATATTGGCACTGGCATGAGTACCACTGTGCCTGGGCTTGGTCTGTCTGCAGGTTAGCCCAAAATAAACTGCAGCTCCTTTCCTGTCCTTCCTGTAAGAGCGTGAAATTATTTCTGTATGCAGACCAAACAAAAAGCAATTAGCTTTGGACTGCTGTCAAACACTTACTAAAGCAACTTACTTATGAATACTGCCACCCCCCACCTCCCTCACCCCCCGCAAACTTCTGCTGCTTCTATTAAAACTTTTGTTTCTGTCTCCATTTAGTGGGACAAGTACAAATTTCTCACCAATAATGTATTTAACGAAAAAGGGTGTTTGACACTGGATTTTTATTTTCCATAGAGGAGTGTGCCTACAAGTAGAGGATTAGTCATTTAAGCTTTCTGACTGCAATTTACATTGCAAATGTAAACTATCAGAAGGAAACACCTGTAAGTATTAAATCATGCAAGTGCTGATTTTCAACCAAATCAATAATTTGTAACAGGACAATGAATTTGTACCATCCAATCAGAACAAAGAAGGACTATCTTCTTATTATCATAAAATCAATAAAAATACTTGCACAGCATTCTTTTAGCTAATTTCTCTTTCATTCTGCGCCATAAAGATAACAAAGTGTGGTGTTCTCTAAGAATGTATTGTTTTATTCTGTATGTTTTTCATCACTATATTCTGGAGTATATTGGTTTTTAATTTGCTGATGGAAACCATCAATTAGAATTAGCTTGAGTGCTGTGGGAGGATAACTACAATAGATGTGAAGGCAACAGAATAGTATTCAGCATAAGTTAATGATGCATTTATTGTGCATGTCATTAACTTGGTGCAGGGCTTATTCTATAAGCAAATAACTTGTATCAAAGCAAAAAACAGTTGTATCAAAAGCTGGGAGTGTAGGAGGATTTGATTAGGGATCCATCAAATTATAGTCACTCAGAATGAAGGACTCTGCTTCTTTGATAAAAGTCTGATTAAAAGAAATAATATTTTTCCAAATGTCAACATTCTATGTACAGTTACAGCCTGTGCAAAAATATTCTGACGCTCATGTCATTTACTGAGCCTGTCTAAGTCTCATAAAGCTTTCTGTGGAAAAAAGTACAAAAAAGCTTAGACAAAGAGGAACTGCCTTATGCCTTTTATAACTTTTTAAAATACTTTCCATTCTGGAATTCCATAAGCCTATATTGTGCATTTGTCACCATTTCTAACTGAGAAAAAAATACCTTCCTCATTATGCATCCAAACCTTCTAATGAAATTTCCTATGTTAAGGTTTTGATTATGCTGTTTTTCTACTTCTTAAATCAAGACAGTTATCATAAAAACAGTGATACCTTTAGCTATAAGTAGAAATTGTCATCAGGATAAAGAAGGAGCCAGACTTCAAGTTACCATCACTGTAGTAGCTTAACAGTGATAGTTTCATTAGTGCCAGTATATCACTAGCAATAGTGAAAATTTGGTGCTTATTGAAGTTTGAAAAAAATATCTACATGCCCAAGTCAGTGTCTGCTCAAAGTTTTTTTCTTTGTGGACACACAGACAAATCCTGGACACTTTAACTCAGTAAGACAGGGAGGGGATATGGATTTTCCCACAAGAATGGATGCAAACAGATACATTTATTTTCATGTGAAAATGTGTTTAATATACATATAATACCTAGATAGGTATATTACTTATTCTATGCTTATATATTAAAAAGTCTTAAATCATAAGGTGTTTGAAATTTGAATTTTCTTATTTTCTTTCAGTGCAGGAATCCAGAAAAGGACAAGGCAATCGATTCTCTTGTTTGGGATTTTTGCACAGAAATGGCCTTATCACCAATGGAAAAGGTATTAACCAGTCACAATGTGTTCTCTGTGAACCACTAATACTGTGTATTTCTGAATCCACTAATGTATTGTGATGTTCCTTAAGCTCATAAAACAGGCAGACTTTTTGAAGATTTACCATCCAGTTGCAAAAATGAAAAGAAAATAAAGCTGTGTAATTAAGTCAGCCAGGATGGATTTGAACAGCCAGATCGATGTAGAGCCCTTCCTGCCATGCACTGTACAGTAGGTATGTAATTTCTAATTAATATTTAAAACACAGTTGACTTGTACTTGATATTTAACTTATAGCTTTAAGCAAAGTATGTAATCTAACAGTAACATGAATGATTTCTCCATGAAAGGATCTGCTGCCTTAAAATTGTGGAAAACAGGAAACACAAGCACAAAGGTTGCTTTGTTCTCTTTTTCAATAAAAAGAAATATTTTAATCTCTTACTCTTTTTCTTTTAACTTCATGAAATTTCTATGTGAGACAAGAGCAGCAGAGTAATTGGGGCAGTAATAGCCTTTAAATTGAAACTTGTGAAACAGAAAGGCTGAAATCTGTAGGAATTCCGTGCAGGCTGACAATTTCTGAGTGTTGCCTTTAAAATCCGACTGTTATGCCAGAACTCTGACTCAGTGATGAAGAAAATGATCTCCTCATGGTTGAGAGTAATTTAATCAGGACTGTAAAATTTGAGTCTGGTTTACCCCAAAATAGTCTGCACTTTGTAAAGCCAGCTAACAAATTCCTTAATTAGAATTAGATTTATTTACTTATTCATTTTGAGTGTTGAATTGGAACTAATAATAAAACATTAAAACAAACAAACAAACAAAAAAAACCCCCTAGGCCTATCTGCATATGAACACAATAGAATTATTTTAATAAAAGCAACAGAACAGAACCAGTTTGGCAATGTATGCTATATTTATCCCTCTTGTCTGGAGGAAAAGAAAAAGTACCTCAGAAATATCCCTCCTGGTCATTTAGAAGGAACAAAATGCAGGTTTGTATCGCTTAAAAAATCAAATCTGAGCATGTACCATTTCTCCCTCTTATCAGGACACATTTTAGCAGCACTGACTCTGTGGCTGGAGCATGAAGGATCTCGAACCACTGTGTGAACTATATCTTGAAGTACTTCTGAGCTTATAGTTTTATCTCACAATCTACTGTATAGAGCTGAATGAAGAGGTTTGTTCCGATTTGATTTCTTGTTGGTGGGAAGGGATATGCTATTTTGCGATTTTTCGCTGAGTATGCCCTAATAGGGGATGAACAATAAGGCTCCTTAAAAAAAAGGGGGGAGCTTGTAAGCATTTTTTACTTTACCTTTGTTGTGGCTTCTCTGAAATTATTTTCTGTCTTGCCACTTTAGATCTTCTTGATGTAGGAATTCATCCAATCAGTCATATGGCTAGCCTTTTAGAAAGAGTATTATGAGTTCTTAATGACCCATATATAGGGTCCTCTGTAAACTGTAGGAGATAGTCTTGAGAAGGAACTGTAAAACTGTAGGAACAAAAATTTTAACAGTATGATTTAACCTTGGAAATTGCTTTTAGGTTTTTGTTGGGTTTTTGGTGTGTTTTTTTTTTTTTTTTTTTTTTTTTTTTAGGAAGTCTAATTAGGGAAGGAAAAATCCTCAACCTGTAAATGTCAAGTTTTAAACTTTTAACAACTGTGAAATATGAAAGGAAGTCTGTTTTGATAGTGGGCTGTGTAAAAGAAAGAGAATAAATAATGAGCTGTGCTTGAAGTGGCAGACTGGATTCAGTGTCTTTCATGGAATGACAGGCAGTGCTGACTTATCATTTATTGACAGAGGAGGCCGGTGACATCTTCTCACAAACTGAAGCAACCTTGATGTAATCATTAATAAAGTAGTGGTAAATTTTTACCAATGCAAGATAATAACTTTTGTTTTGAGCTTGGACACATGCTAATTTGAGCAAATGGCTACATGTTGAAAGAAAGATGGGGGGGGGGGAGGTGGAAGCAACAAAATGTTAGAAAACGAATCATCACCATCAGTGAATAGGTACTCCAAAGGCAATGGGAAAAGATCCCAATACCGTACCAGCAGGTTCCTGTCACAGAACACTGATACAATTTATTCCCTCTTGAGACTTCAGAAATGTAATCACACATGGAAATCTCCTTTGCACAGGCAAGTCACACTGGTGTGAAGAGAAGAAAATGGAACAGAGAGAATGTGAATTTTCCTGGTCAGGTTGTGTGAATGACTAAGAGTTCATAGAAGTTGCTGTGATATTTGGTTAAAATCAGGCTCCCTGCTTAACACGAATTTATTTTCCTTGTTTGTTTGTTTCTGTCAGGTTATTTAGGCTAGATACTGCCGAAAAAGAACTGTCATGTGCAGCGCGCAAGATCACACTCATCCAGGCACGAGGACGTGTTTTTGAGTGCCACCTGCTGGCTTTTTGTCTTTTAGCCGTTCACAGACCGGGACGTTTTTCTGAAGGTGGATGTTCTGTTGTGTCAGGTGCCAGTTCCTGAATGAAGCGTTAGAGAATACGCTTCTCATGCCTGCCAGCTGTTTTAGGGAGATGCAGATTGAAAGACAACAACTACATTTGTGTTCCAAGACTTTCCTGGTGTCCGTGTTTCACTGAATAAAACTCTGGGTACTGCTGCTCATCTGCTCATCTTTGCTCTTCTGTTCTATGCCCCCCCCCCCCCCCCACCCCCCCCCCCCCCCCCCCCCCCCCCCCCCCCCCCCAAAAAAAAAAAAAAAAACAAAAAAAAAAAAAAAAAAAAAAAAAAAAAAAAACCACCAAAAAAAAAAAACAAAACCAAAAAAAAAACAAAACAAAAAAAAAAAACATGAGAAATAGGCAGTGGGGTTCATTATCCTGAATAGGAACAGTTTACACTGAAAGCATGCTGTCTGCATTGATGTGTGAGAGAGCTTTTGTGAACTTGATCTGTTCAGTGTCTGAGTGTCACTAAGTAAAAATGCAGTAGAAATCATGCCCCTGTTACTGCTTCTCTAAAGGACTTTGCTTTCAGGATCCTACCCACCATTAATGCATGTGCTCCGCTCAAAAGGGGGGAGAATAGGCACTCCATAAAAACACATTTTGCGGAAATCTAGGTATGCAATAACTATTTGGCTGTAACTGCAGTTGGAACACAGCAACTGGGCTGTTGGTAAAACAAAACAGAGATTATCCTTTGCAACGGTCTATTCTGAATAGACACTGTCTTCTACTGTGGGTGGGAAGTGCCATGATGGAAAGTACTTGTTTGTTCTCCCGATTCCCATAGAGAGCAGGCAGGAATAAAGTGACTGGTAACTCAAATCCATGTAACTCCCACTGGATTTCTATTTACAAACTGCCAGAAGACAAGCTGTCTCTCCCAGTGGCATTCTCTGAGGAGGCCTCTGTGTTGTCTGTGACATTCATTACACACGTGCCTGCACAGCACCTGCCAGTCACTCTCACCCAGAGAGACACTCCTCACTTCCTGAGACATTCCATGAGCTAGATGAACAAATTTAAAAATACAAAATGCTGGAACTGAGTGAGACATTTATAACTGAGCAAGCACTGCTAATGTAGGCAAGCATATACTGCGATATAGACTACTCGTTCTGTGATTTTGTATTTTTGCAGTGCTTGTTCAGATGTCTCTGTTTTGAAATAATTTCAGATGTACATTCCTTTGTTTTTTTTAGCACTGAGAATGGAAAGCGTGGTGTGTGGCTTTTAGTTTTTTGGTTTTGTTGTTGTTTTTTTTTGTCCTGTTTTTATTTTTCTGGTTTGATAGCTAGAAACTACAGGGTTTTGCCGTTGCACTTGGGCCTGTGACCAGCCCCAAGGCATCTCATCTGAGTCCTATGCTAGTTTTGACTAAAATTTAATTAAACTAGGGGTGTCTGGAGTGAAATGTTTCGGGTCAGTTCATTGGCATTTTTTGATAAAATTTTCCAACATTTGAAAAAGTCTGGCTTACAGGGACAGAGAAAGCAGCTGTAATATATAATGAAACAAATGGAAAAAAAAAAAAAAGAAGTTCATATCAATGAATAAATGAATGTAAATGAGAAGTTAGGAACTGAAGACGTTTGTAAAAGAAGCAGAAGGACACAAGGAGGAAACTATGGTCATTGGAATTAAGGACTTGAAAAAAATTTTTAAGGAGGAAAAAATTCCATTGATGGTGTTAGCTTGCGGAAAAGGCTGAAATTGTGTGTAATACTGCAGGAAAAACAGAGGGAGTCAACATTACTGCTACATACTTAACCAGCTACTTTTCTCAGTTCTGTGCTAACCTGACCCTCTTTTTAGTGAAGATAACTAGTTTCCTAGCTCAGTGGTATTCAGTGATACCATCTGTGTGGATGTAGGAAGCATAGAAGAGAGTGCTACCAGGGCAATTGGTGATTAAGCTGAAGTAGATAGAGGTTAGCAGCATAAGAGGAGTTGTAAGGTGGTAAATAATTAGAGATGTTGAAATAAACTGCTCAGATAAAGATTTTGGATTGGCAAGGATTCATTTTAAGCAGACTGTTGTCTTTAATTGCCAAATTGCTGCTGTCCCTTCAAATCCCTGGAGATCCTTAGCAGTCTTCACCCTAGGAAGCAAACTCCTTTGCCTTTTCTGGGTTCTCAGACTTTGATATTCTCCCGTTTCAACCCTTGCTATTTCCTGAGTAGGAGTCCCATCTATCGCTCCCTTATTGTCTCACTTGCTGCCTTTCCCAGATGGGGCTTGTTACAGGCTTTTGTGTAAAAGTCAAAGTTAGTGTTGATCCAGAATGCTCTTCTTGTTTCTCTGTGGCAGAGGGTGGTAGCCATACGATGATGCTGAAGCCGAAATACCTTGTTTCAGCAATTAATAAGGATGAAAAAGGCTGCTAACCTTGAACCTTTTAAAATCAGCATTTCTTTATAGTAGGTGTCCAAATGTTATAGAAAAACTGTCTGAGGAGCTCAGTGGACCATTGCCATTGCTTTTCAATAAAACTGGAACTGGAAAATTCCAGAAGATAAGAAGAAATCTATTGTTGAGCCAATATTTTGAAAGGGTGAAAGAGGTTACAATGGTAATTATAGTCTTGTCAGACTGACGTCCATCTTAGGCAAAATAATGGCATAGCTGATAGAGGACTCAATTATAAAGACTGAAATAAAGGTAATAATAATTGTTAGACTTGTGGAACACAGATATTGCAAAGCTGATATGACACTCTTTTGAGGAGATTATAGTTTCGGTTGATAGATATAAGAGAGCTACTGATGTCGGAAGGCTTTTTATGGCCAAGGGGTCTTGGGAAGGTAAAGAATTTTGATTAAGCAGCTGAAACAGTGCAAAATCATCCCAGTACAGATCTTTTTGATCAGTTCAATGTTTTTGATGTTGGGTACCACTGAACAGCAAGACTGCAGTCTTTCTCAGTGAAGCTGAATTCTGCTTCTTATTTTTATCAGCTAAGATAACTAGATATAAAATCAATAAAACTAGTAGCGTCGTACTGGATCTTCATTATTTACCTTCTTTTTCAAATATTTAATGAATATGCTGGGTGTCTGTATTACAATTGTCTATCAAAGGCTGTAAGGGAAGTAGTCAAGCGTTATGAACTCCAATTTGTATATAACTGTTCTGGTATTTTCTCATTTTTTCATTTGTTTTGTTCATTCTGCACTTATTATCTATGAATATCTGAAAATGTCTCTCCCTGTAATGAAGAATTGTTTATTTCCTATTTTTGTTTATTGTTTGGCAGTTCAATTTAGAGATACTACACTGTAGATTGCCACATCTCTTTCTTTTCTCTTCCACTCATTAGCAGGGAGTCTTTAATCTCTTCTTTCTCTGCTTTTCTTAATAATCACAATATCTCACTTTCCCAGTGGGGCTCAGTCTAAGATTGAGTAGAAAATTAGGCTCACATCAGGCAGGCTGAGCTTATAATAATGCTGAAGAAGTAATATAACCTAAAAAATGAGATATTTCTGCTCTACATATGGTTTTAATTATTGTAGCTTCTAAAATCTAATTCAAAAAAAATACACTAATGAATTGAGGTGGAGTGGAAAAATCTGCTTTATCTTTTAAAACAGAAGCATTCCAGTCCAAACATGCTTTAAATTATCTACTATGTTTAAAAGTATAATAGGAACTGTTTATTGAATGAATCCATGAAACTCCTTATTAATGTGGCTTTTTTATTTTCTAATATATCTTTGTATTCATATTTAGACTCAAAAATATTTTGAGTATTATAGTTATTTGGACACTAAACTCATCACCATTTTTTTTTCCTTATTATTTTTATTGTCTTGTATTTACTGGTTTAGTGAATATAATTAAAAATCTAAAATCTCATATTAAATGTTTTCTCTGAAGTACAATCAAATGTACTGTCTTCATATGTTTGTATTATTATTTAGTTTCTATAATACCATCTCATTTTGCCACCAGATTTAATGCAACTTTGGAATTAAAACATATCTTTAACCAAAACATCAATTTAATTTACTCATGTTGTACTGTTGAAGTATTTGCACAGATTTGCCATGTAATTGAGTATGGTCAAAATATGAAACAACATAATATTTAAGTTAATTATGAAGCTAATTAAACATATTGTGTAATTTTATTTTCAATTAGTTTTATAGGTATCTGTAAAATAAAATACACTACAGATTCTGCAAGATTTATTCTTTTTTTCTACAGCAGTTTTTGACAGTAAACTGTCAAATATGAGATGATTAACAAGACTTTACAGGCAGTTAGAATCATAGTATCATAGAATAGTTAGGGTTTGAAAGGACCTTAAGATCATCAAGTTCCAACCCCCCTGCCATGGGCAGGGACACCTCACACTAAACCATGTCACCCAAGGCTCTGTCCAACCTGGCCTTGAACACTGCCAGGGACGGAGCATTCACACCTTCCAGTGCCTCACCACCCTTACAGTAAAGAACTTCTTCCTTATATCAAATCTAAACTTCCCCTGTTTAAGTTTTAACCCGTTACCCCTGGTCCCATCACTACAGTCCCTAGCGAAGAGTCCCTCTCCAGCATCCTTGTAGGCCTTCTTCAGATACTAGAATTTCAGTTCAGTTCATCCAGGTCATTCAGGCTAGAGTGACGAGCATCCCTTGCAGAGCACTGGTCGTAAGCCTCCTGCTGGGAATTGTAATGCGCATTCAGGACAAAGCTGATCGGTACACCCATGTTAGAGCAGCAGCACTAGAGGCATACACAGTTAACCAGCCAACACTGAGGGTTGGTCAGGTTCAGATTTACCTAAGGTCAGGTAAAAATATCCTTTTTTAATTCAGGCCTTTGATCAGGTTCAGTTATGTTAGAATTTCTTTGTACCCTACAAGCAACCTAAAACGTGCTCTTGAGGAGTTACTTTTCTTCATACTGGTTGAGGATTTTGCCAATATAAGATTATGTTTGCATATATAGTTTTTTTTTTTCTAGTCTATTTTTCTTCTCAAAACCTCTACATGGCAAGCAAACAGTATTTTCTACAATTTAGAGAGGCACTAGAAGTTTAAAAGCTGGATCAACAAAGACATTTAGGGTGTATTTTTATTCAAGTAGTGTTTATCTCCCAAGCTTTCTTGGGTGAACAGCATTTACATACGTAAATATCTTGGTGCCCCTGAACCATAGTGATTTACCTTTAGGCACA